GAGGACGGCGGAGAGGACGGGGACTCGGGTGGGAGCGGGGCAGCTGGTGAAGTAGGCAAGAGGCGTCGCTGCTACGTCGTGCGCGTTCTGTCTGAGCTCAAGGCGTTCAGGGAGGAGCTCAACATGGTTGAGAAGCTCTTCAAGGCACACGGGCACCTGTGCATCTTCTTGCCGAAGTACCACCCAGAGCTCAACGCAATCGAGCGATACTGGGGGTACATCAAGCACCTCCTCCGCCTCCACCGCGAGTGTTCCCTTCGCCACATGCTCGAGGTCTTGCCCGGCGCGTTGAGCGGCGTACCCGCACGGTTTATCCGCGCATGGAGCAGGGTGACGTGGCTGTACATCGAAGCCTACGACGAGGGCCTGGAGGACTACCTCGAGTACCGCGATCTCAAGGAGTGGGGGAAGCACCGAGAAGCCACCGCCAGGGGAGATGCCGTGATTCAGGCGAGGGGGGCGGGGAAGACGCCGGAGCAGAAGAAGGCAGCCGAGGCGAAGGCGCTTGCGGCTGCGCAGGAAGTGCGCAAGAAGTCAATGGCAGCGACCAGGGAAGCCTTCAACACGTGGACGAACAAGAGAGCCTCCCGGAAGGAGCAGCTACGGCTGTGGATTTTGCGCAACACGATGGATTTTTTTAGGAAATGGTTGGGCGGGCCTCGACGAAGCTCGACGCCGCGGTCACGCCCAAAGTTGTTTCACTTTCCAAATCGTTTTTTTTCGAAAGATATCGCGAAAAACAAGATTGTGAATATTTGCCCGAACGGACCATATATGTCGCTTTCACCCGCAAATGTCATTCTACTTTTTTCACTCCATGGAGATTCGAACTCACGACCTCTGCAGCTGGCGGATTACGAGGATGTCCTGATACCACTAGACCACCGGGGCGACCCGTTTTAGCGTGGAGGGTTGCGAAAAGAAAAGTAGTGTGGAAGAAACGCGACCCGAAACAACAGCACCAATCCGAAACCGCACACACACACAACAGATGATGCCATGCCATCGAAGAGAGGACACCATGTTCACTCCAAGGTAGGATTTTCCGCCTCGCGGTGCAGAAGGAAACAAAAGGCAGAACAATTGCGACATTAGCGGAATAGACATACACCACCGAGGAGGTCATTGGCCAATTTATTCGTTTGATGAGGACATGCTACAGAGTTCATACCTATCAAAAACACAGAAACTGCGGACTAGACACATTACCAAGGAGCTCGTTGAAGTCCCCAATTTATTCATTTGGTGAAGGGGTCACACCTCACAATAAATGTACAGAAATGGAGGACTTGTCATACATCACATAGGAGCTCATTGCAGTCGCCAGCTCATTCATTTCATGACAGCCTACTACAGTGTTCACACCTATCTAGTACAAAAAAAAAACAGAAACAGCACGATAGACACAACCCAGGAGTTCATTGCAGTCGCCAATCGATTCATTTGATGATGGCCTACCACAACGTTCACACACCTTGGACGTCTTGACCACCTCGTGGTATACCCCGTAGCGGCTGTCTAGCGCCTTCTTGTCGAAGTTCACCGTCATCGGATGCAAATACATAGCCCCCTTCCTGCCCTGCAGGGAAACCTGATGCAACCCCGAGTTGATTAATTTGTTCGGCCGATCCGGATTGTTGATGACAAGGGTTACACGGGGCGAAGGTCGGCTTCTCGTCGATGTAAACTTTCATGCAGGCGTCGACAAAACAACGCCGCCCGCTTCCTGACCTGCAGCGAACACCGATTTTGTCGTCGGAACAAAGGCGGCGAGGTCCCTAGTCGAGCTAAAGCGTTCCACGACGTCCGATGTGCGCTTACCTCAGGGTAACTCGGCACCGGGGCAGCCTTGCCCCCTTTCGGGGGTTGCGAGGGCAACTGCCCACCGGATCACCGTACCGGGCAACGCGTACCACCTGGCGACCCACGCGCCGCTTCCACACAAAAAAATCTCTACCAACCTCCTCTGCCCCCCTAGACTGGCAAGCAGTGTCTGGCCCTATTGTTGGCGGAGCCTCGACTGACTACCAAAAGGGATCCGTCTCGAAAAATACAAGTACACCCCCTCTCCTCCACGACAATAAATTCCGGTCACTCCACCCCGACCAAAAACAACCAACCAATGAACCAGTGGATCACCTCGCCGGCGGTCTTCTCCGCCGCCCCCCCCTTGGAGCCGCCTCCCCCGGGTTTCTTTCCGCCCGCGCCGCCGCCGCTAGCCGAGGTCGACGACGGGCACAGAGCGGCCGGGGCAACAGCGACGTTAGGGTAGAGGCCGGCGCACACGACGGCCTTGATGAGCTGGATGTTTCCTCCGTTCACATTGCTCGAATGCTCCTGTTGTTGGGGGTGGCCGCTGTGGCTGCCGCGGGAGTGGCGGTTCCCGCCTCTGCTGCCCCCGCCTGGGAAAGCGATTTTTTGGTCAGGATATGGGAGGGGGAGTTGTCACGATCGTGTCGAGGGCTGTGTTTTGTTTACCGCCCTAGAAAGGCGAGGATGAATGTAGCAAGAAATGCCGCGTATGGTGCTGTTGATTTGGTAGCGATTTCGAACGGCTGATGGCAGTGATATTCCATACGACCCGAGGACGGAAGAGGATTGTACAACTATACAGGTACGAAAGCCTGGGAAAGGTAGCGGTAGCGGGTGCCTGTCTAATTCCGTACCGGGATAGCGCATCAAAGTGCAACGGATGGCGGGAAAATCTGTCCTTGCAGAGACGACGACAAGGCGGCGAGAAGGGCTGGAGAGTCTGGAACCCTGTTGGTGGAACCGATAAACGGAGAAGTAGTCTTGAACGCTGAATGGGGCGCCTCCCTTTCTCGCGCGTGCATGCCCACCGCCGCACCATCGAGTCTCGACAACCACCTCATGTACCCCAGGACCCCAAACCTACCCTTGATCAAAACTCACTCTCGATGAAACCGATGTCTCTCAGAAGCCCGCGGAACTGCCGCCTCATGTCCTCCACCATCACCAGCGTCTGCCGCGACAGGAAGTGGTCCCGGAGGTACTCCCGCTCCGCCCTCGACCCGCAGCCTCGAGCCAGCCTCCAGCCGTCGTAGGCCTTGAGGAGCGTCAGGTGGTCCGACAGCGCCAGCGCGAACGCCCGCCGAGCCTCGTCAGCGACATCGCGCCTACGACCAGGTGAGCAAGATCAAGGGCAATGTAGGTGCAGGCACAGGCCGTTGTGTCAGACATAACGTCGATACATGGCCCTGTACGTGAGGGATTCCCCCTTCCCCCCCCCGCGGTGTTTGCCATCGGGGTTGGGTTTTCGTCGCTTGGCAACGACGTTGTAAAACAAGCCGCCCCCCCCGGTGTTTGCCATCGGGGTTGGGTTTTCGTCGCTTGGCAACGACGTTGTAAAACAAGCCGCCCCCCCCGGTGTTTGCCATCGGGGTTGGGTTTTCGTCGCTTGGCAACGACGTTGTAAAACAAGCCGCCCCCCCCGGTGTTTGCCATCGGGATTGGGTTTTGGTCGCTTGGCAACGACGTTGTAAAACAAGCCAATTCACTTCGTGAACTCGGCAACCAGGTTACCGTTTTTTTTTTTTTCCTCCGTTTTTTTTTTTTGGGGGTAACCATAATGGTGGTCGAGTAGATCATGTTGTGCGGGGTGGAGAACCCTCACTCCGCGCAAGGGGGATGATCGCACCACGTTGTGTTAAAATGGTCAAGCACCCTCGAGGCAGTTACACAGTGCTTACAACTGTCTCTGGAAGTGAAAGCACCAGAAAATAAATTAATTCATACGCAGCTGTCATCCGTACGCAAGGAAGTAAGCACAAGATGCCGAACACCCTTAGCAGGATGCAGCGCACCCTTCATGCGACTCGCCGAATATCTCACGGCGCTTCGCGCTTGGTGATGTGAGAGCCTGGTCCGGTGAGAACCCGGCGTGCTCCGTCCCGGCTTTGTAGGGATGCGAGGTCAATGGTCTAACGACTACGGCATGCACGACCATGAGTACACCCCCCCTCCCCCTCAATCCGCCCCGGCATTGTAGGGATGCGAAGTCAATGGCCTAGATGCCACACGGAGGTACAATTAATAGTTGTTGTAGGACTCACCAAGGACAGGACGTTCACGCTGGGGTCGTGTTGTTGGAAATTAGGTCGATCCATAACCCTGTAAGTCAGCAACATCGTTTTGCACAAGGAGATACCAGTTGTCTCAGAACCCTACGAGCGCAAACACTATCACACAGCAGCCCTTGCTTTCTCCAGAAACAAAAAAAACAGCATACTTGTCGAACGGTGCGACGAAGGGGTTTCGGCAGCTCATGGCGGCGGCGATGGTGATGGCCGGCTCGACGCAGCCGAATATGGCGCCGTAGAGCATCATCTTGCCCACGCGCGGCTCAACCGGAAGCGTGGCGAGGTGAAAGCCCAGCGCGGTCAGCACCGGCTTGTCGTCCTCGTCGAGCTGAGTCGCCTAGAGACGACAAGCATAGCGTATACAAGACACAAGCGAGGAAGGTTTGGTGAGGGGAGGAGCAAGCAGTATGGCATTGGGGTCGAACGAGACGGCCCGGTTGATGGCAGCGAGGGTAACGTAACTCACGGCTGAAAACGCGCACAAGACACAAGCAGCAAGACAACTTGCGTGACATAACAACCAACACACCAGCGATTGGAAATCCCGAGGTGCATGCATTGTGCGTGTGCTCGAACGGAGTGAGCGTTTCGCATCAGCGAAGAGACGACAAATATTGTACTATCGCAAACGCGGGCAGGCATCGACGAGGCACGACAAGCGGCGAGGAAGCCCTTCCATACAAGCATGTACGCGCAGGGACGAAAGTGACAGGAAAACCATGCGTGTAATCACACCGGAAGTTGGCGCAAGCACGTTCTGGAAGTTTCCAACACCCACTGGGGACGGCAAGAAGGGTTTGGCAACCGGCAGCAATTGGTCACGCTCAGAAGTCGGCGATACACGAAACAGCTATTTACATCGCTGGCACAGAGGAATGGATGGTGACGATCGAGAGAAAACATCGAAAAGAACCATACAAGAACGATACGTGAACAACACCATTCCTAAGACGAAGCCACCTGCAGCTCGCAGAGGTACTTGATAGAGTTAGCCACCGCCAGCTCGGTGGGGGGGTTGACCGCAGAGGCGAGAAACTCCGCGGGATCCCCCTTGTCCAGCAGCAGGATCTGCAGCACCATGTCGTCGAGGCTAACTCGGAGCATCTCCGGCAGCTGAACGTACGTGTGGGTTGGGGGTTGCACGGAAGGGAGAGCGGGCGATTCTTCGATAATCGACGACCCTAACCGGCCGGGGAAGAAGAGACGGACGGCGTTTGGCCAAACTGGTCCGCACAAATAGTTTGTCCTTCCTGCAGAAACTTATGGAAGGCTGTGGGAGTACATGCATTGGTGGCATGGCGTAACCGAAGGGACTAGGAAATAAAGAATGCCGTTGGCCACGTCAAACTGCCCCGTATCCCGAACAAGGTGGAAGCAGCCGAGTGGTGTCTGTTTCTCAAGGACAGTTTGAAGCAGCAGAACCTTCGCGTGTGCAGGTGGAAATGCAAAGCGTCGAGAGTACCCGATGTTCGTGTGTATGTCGATGGAGCATTTGAGCTCCTTTCAAGTGTCTGTGTGGCATGATGTACAATGTGTCTGGAGGGGGTGGCGGATGCATTCGCTTGTTCCTTTTCTGGTCAGAATAGAACAGGCCGCCGCACGCTTTGCAGCCCTAACAAGCACCGTTACTAGAACCGATCCCTCTCCTGGAGGGTTTGTGTGTTGAGTACCCGTTGCGAGAACGTACAATACTTGCACAAAATATACAATTCACAACAGGCTTCTATCAGTAGCGACAAGGGGCAGGGAGGGAGGCCACGTCAACACAATAAAAAAAAGCCTAGAGAAAAATATGAGCAAGCCAACAAATGCGAAGCCGCAAAAGATGCAGACTTCATGTTAAGTTCTGCACCGCCTCCCGATTTGCATTGAAAATGGCTTACCTGAAACTCGCTGATTGTGTCCTGGAACGTGCCGGACGAGCACATGTGGAAGCACACGCCGGGGCGCACGCGGCCGGCTCGCCCTCTCCTCTGCTTGGCGGAGGCCTTGGACACCCAGCACTCCAGCAGCATGGGCATCATATTGGCGTCATCGAAACGGTTCTCTGGTGGGGATATGGGAGGGGAGAAGAGGGAGGTTGAATGCAAGGATCGTCACCAAGCCGAAATGATTCATTCGACAACAGCCAAGATAGAGATGTGGACGATGAGTCTCCGATCCCTGCAGCGATTTTGGTGATGTTGCCGTTCGTCGCACTCCACGACCTTCAGCCCTCTCATGCAGTAGTAGTACAACCGCTGTTTTACTTCCTCGCTTGCTTTCCCTTCTCCCACTGAAAACGCCCTTCTACGGGTTGACTACGGAAGCTATTAGAAAACGCTCGGATCCAATGAGAAGGCTTGCGCTGATGCTTTTGAGCCTGAGAACGACGTCCTTGGCAGGAAAGCCGCAGGATTTCTCAGGCCGGATAATGGGAAGCTACCAACTTTGTCGACACCAACCAACGGTCCGCCTCTCTCTCAGGCTGGCATTGGCTCTACCCAAGAAGTGTTGATGTTGTCTTGGCGATCGAACAACACCCTACGGCTGAATTTTCATCGCTGTTGGAAGGGAGGTTGAAGTCTGCGACAACAATTGCCGAGCATATCAGAGACATTGCGCTACAGTACCGCCACCGCTTCTAGTACTCCTACTGCTCCTGCTGTTGCACCTGTTGCTGCTGCGGCGGCGGCTACTTCTGCTGCGGCTGCTGCTGCTGCTGCTGCGGCGGCGGCTAGGATGCGGTGCTGCTGCGGCTGCGGCTGCGGCTGCTGATACCTCTACTACAGCTCTGTTTCTGCGTCATTATCGTGCCTTTAACCTTGCAGCTGTCGACGACGAAGACGCAGTCCTCGATGGTGATGGACGTCTCGGCGATGTTCGTCGATACGACGATCTTCCGCACTCCCTTGGGGGGCACCTCGAAAATGGCCTTCTGGTCCGAGGTTGACAGGGACCCGTGAAGCGGGTACACTCGAGTCTTTTCCTGGAAAGATCACACATCAAAAGGCGCGTGAAAAGTACGATTTGTGATGTATTAACAAAAAAGAAAACGACAGGGGAAGGGAGGAAATGACGTACATTTTGGCGAATGCTTAAATCCCATGAAGAAAATATGAAACACCAGGTGCCCAGAGGAAAAACAGAAAGGGCAAAAAGGTCATTGAGTGCGCAAGAAGCGAAACAAAACGGGTGGGCAAAGCATCAAGTGCCGTATGCGCGAACGTTGTACTCGCTGCATGAATGATGCGCCATAAATCAGGCTGAGGTCTGCAAACAAAAATCATGTGTGAACAATCACAGGTGGGAGTCGGGTTCGATGTGAAAGCATTGACACCATACCTGCCGTTCAAACCTGAAATAATGTGCACGACGAGTCGCTTTCCTGCGACTACCTTGAAACAGAACCAAATCATTCTTGTTTTTCACAAATCGGGCGTCGCTTGTCATGGTACCCAAGAAGACACTGCGACTTGTGCCGGCAGGCGTGCGAAAAACTCGGGGATAGGATATGCTCCTTGAACCACGCGCCGCCTAAAAAAAAAAAACGAAAATCTTGTTGTAGGTTGAAAGAAACCCACGGTAACCGGACATCACCGAAACACCATTTTCCCCCTCCAATACCGTTGTGGTCAAGAAACAAAGAAGTGGCACCCAGGCAAAACACGACAGTAGACGACGACCTGAGACCTAAGCAATATCGGCTTCATTCTTATCATGCAGAAGAAAAGAGAGCACGCCCGCAAGAACTCAAGGGTAACAAAAAAATCGCACACCTTGTCGTTGAAAAGTGGGTTCCCGGCGAGCGCCTCGAGCATCTTGGTGATCTCGGCGAGTCCCGGCAGGAAGACGAGGATGGCCCCTTCTTCAAAGTTGTAGGTAATGTACTCGAGCAGGCTCGAGATCGCCTCGTAGTTGATCATGCTCTCGTCCACCACCTGTCGAAAGGTACGGCGTACGTTTGCAGCGCAGAGCGGGTGATTTATCGGGAAGCGCACAGGCAGGCGGTGCGGCAGACTACTGCTAACAACGCCTTTTGCGTGTGTGTATGTGTGGCGGGCTGACGGGGTGCTCGAGGGCGTGCATCGATCAATGTTACACCGCTTGATTGTAGGGAGGGGTAGCAGCGCAGGAAGCAGCCTGAGAACGTACTGGTTTTGTTCCGCAGTCGAAAGCCATGCCCCCCAACAACAG